AGCTCGCCTCCAAAAGCAGGCGCCGCCGGCGGGGAAGGGCCTCAGCCCCCACAGGAGGCTGCTTGCAGGCCAGCGCCTCGGGCTTGGGGGTTACCAAGGAAATGCAACAATATTTACGACCTCACGACGATGTGAAAGTGTTCGCCTAGCACGCGATCTGCCCCCTCCCCCGGCAGTTTCCCACCCCTGTAGCCCTTCCTCCCCTCCCCTCCTCGGGCTCTCCACGAGCTTCTGAGCCCTACATATCTAAAACAGCGGCAGTCAGGTCCCTTCAGCCTTGCCTGTCGCCCTCCTCTACCCCGGTTCCTAAGAGAATTCAGGCTTCTAGGACTCCAGAAGGGAGGAGCCAGAAGTCCAACGGGCCAGGAGGGGCGGCTGCGCGGGGTGGGGGTGGGGGGGACCTTGATTCTTACCCTGCAAGGCTCACAAAATATCCTTTATGTGTAGCACAGTGGTTAAGACCTTGGGATGGGTCTGCATCCAGATTCTGTTGCTAATTTGCCTTGAGAACTTGAGTCTCCTCTCTGAGCTTTAGTTTCCCCACCTGTGAATTGGGAACAATACCTACCTCCTTGATGATTGCGAGGAGTATGTGACAACACATGTGAAATCTAAGCGATGCTAAAGAGTAAATGGTATTTCTTATAATAAGAGTATCTATATGCAAGCACACATTCATGCCTAAAAATACAAAGCGTTTCTAGGGGAAAAAAATCTCAGCCTGGGTCGGGGTGGGGGACAGTGTAAAGAATCAGGATTATCGCTTAGTTTACTGACTAGTTTTTGTCCACCGTGACCTTTAAAAACAAGTTTACATGGACTGATCTAGATGTTTTATAATGCAAGAGGATTTTCCTATAATATCCCTAAAATTAATTATTGAAGGAGGACAGGAATATTTTTAAAGGAGGAAGGAACTTTGAAAAGGCATTACATATATTAAAATCTTCGCAAGAAACCGCTGCTTTTTGTTTCTGTTGACTTTGAAACTCAAAAACAATAATAAATACAAACTAAGCGCTGAGACCGTCAAGGCGTTATTCCTGAAAGGTAGTGCGTAAAAGTGCCCTTTAGGAAAACTCTGCCGTAAATCCCTCCAGAGGAAGGGGCGGCTATTCGAAGGAAATTCATGGGATTATACTCTTCTAAAATGATTTTTGCCATGTTTGTGTGCCTACAGAGGCTGTGGCTGGGTGTGTAAACCTTCTGGGTGCGTCTGCCAAGAGACCCCTAGTGCTTTCTTCTGAGTGTCGGGGTAGAGTCAATACCACGGATGCTGGTGCATCCCAGGCATGAGACCTCTTCCAGCCCTTTTCCAAGACTTCAGGACCCTAGTCGCAGAGTCCCTCGGCTGCTGTTCCTGCTCAGGACCTTTCCTTCCTCCGGATGGGCTGGGTCTGGGGAGAGACTAAGCTGAGCCACTGAGGCACCCAGGGCACACGATTATGACCTGGGGTGGGGGTGGGGGTGGGATCTGTCCTGCTTAAGACTATCCAACGCCACCGCCAGCGCATCTCTTCCACGTCCTTCTGTTGTTTTACAGATGGTAAACTGGGGCACATCTCCCTTCCATGCCAGGGAGCCCTGACAGCAACACCATTTGTCTCCAAGAGACCTGGGCTCCCATCCCGACTATTCACCTCAGACCCCATTCTTGCCCTGGGGGAAGCCAAAACTTATGTCAATTTATGTCCAACCAACATGCACAGCATTTCCATGTGTGCAGTCAGAGTGGGTCCATGGAGACTTACCCAGGCCTCTGGGGTCCAATATATTCCAATTCCTAATCCCTATAGATTTCTCTATAATTGAGGCTCAGACTCGGATAATCTCTGAGGCACCCAGAGTAGTTTTCCAATTTAAGTGCAAACACTGAGGTCAGAGGGACTGTGGAGAGGGGCCGGAATGAACCACTATAAAAGCCCCTTCCCGTAGAAGTAAAGTGAAACCCGGCAGTTTCCTCGATTTAAATTGTCAGAATATCCATGCCCTTTCTTGCTTCGCTCTTCTAAGGGACTGAAGGATTTGAATCTTGTGCAAGAAGGTGCCAATGTATAAAGAAGCAGGAAGCTTGAGCTAAGAATACAGAGAAAGGTGTGAAACCCTCTGTACCTGTCAGCACAGACTTTTTTCATTCAAAGAGCCATCCTTTATTGCCCAGGGCCAGACACTGAACTAGGTTCCAGAGAATAGGAACAGCACATGGTTCCTGCCTCCAGAATGCTTGCAGCCAGGAGCTGGGGAAGATCTGTTGGGGTGGACTTTATTCACCTGGGGAAAACTACTGCTAAAGATTTTTCCGGAGTAGTGATAGAGGGTGCGACAAGATAAACCGTGCACGGCCAGAGCTAGGTACCGAGGCTTCTGCGAACCCCATGCAGTGACCCGAATTTGGGTAGAAGTCCGAAGGAAAATTCCGAAAGTGGATGCCAGTCTTTGCGCCCCAGGAGGTACGGAAAGCAGTTGTCACTTGTTCAATCCAGGCTTTGATCCATTCGTTGATGATAAGCCATTGGATTCTGTAATTTGTAAAGAAAATGGAGAGAAGGATTTTACCATCGACTTGAAAGCTCAGCTCCTTTTCCCCCTTTGTGGCTGGCTTGTTTGACCTCCAACCCGTTCTGTCCTATTGAACTTTGGCACCTCCTAGAGTAGAGGAGGGAAGGGGGCGCTCTTTCCCACCGGATACTTGCTGCCTGGCAGCTGCAGGCCGAATGCAGCTCCTCCGGAAGCCGGCAGGGATGGGGGCTGGCAGCTGGACCACCTGAGAGGGCTCCGCAAACCAGGCCAACTGGACTATGTAAAGAACTGTCTTGAGTTGAGGTAAATGAATTCATTAACTGAAAGTGTCCTTTTCTGAACTCACCCCAAGAAGGACGACATAGCGGAATGGTTAAAAGGCAGGCTTTTAATAAAGGAAGTCTGGATTCGGTATCTGGATTCAAATTCGCACTCAGCTGGTCCGATAGCTTAGGCAAACTACTGAAGTACGATTATGCACCTCAGCGCCAGTGGGGCGTTTGACAAGTAATAAACAACAGTTATTATTTCTGCCACTTTCACAATATTCAGAAGCTTGTACGAACTGATAGAACTCAGGCTGCCAAGCACTTAAATGTGCCAAATTAACCCCCAAATAAACCAGTGACAAAAGGGAAGGAAAAGTTGTTTGCGCACGACCTTGGGCCAGGATGCCATGTTAGAGGTGACTGTCGGCTGCCAGCTCTTCTCCAGGGCTCCTGCACCCCTGAGAGGCTCCTCTGGCCTTAGCGACCCAATCAAATAAACTACTAGAAATGGCCAATCGGAATCAAGGTCGGTCTAAGGAGCATCAGGCCTGTCCCCTTCACCTAGGGAGTGAGTTCTTTGGTGACATCTCTGCATCCAGACATCTCTAGGGTGGCAAAGGAAGACATGGGAGGAGGGAAGAAGATTCAATTAATTGAGCATCTACTATGTGTCTGTGGATGAACACATTTTCAACATCATTTGTGTTGTCATCCCCATTTTATGGATGAGAAAACCAAGGTGTTGCTAAATAAATTGCTCGAAAATTCATTACAGGTTTGACTAACTTCAATTCCTGTGCTCTTTTTTATAATAACATGTTTCCAAGCTCTTAAACCCTGATCTCCCATGAAGGCAGGCAGGCAGGCAAGGAGGAAAGGAGAGAGGAAAGAAAGGAAGAAAACACTGCCACAGTTATAAGAACCAGTCTCCTGTAGCAGAAATCCACACAAAAAAATTTAACTTGAAAAATTATGGCTCAAGATTATTACGATTTTTTTTAAGTATCATTTTACAAGATACTTCGGGGAAGCAACAACGTTACATGGAAGTGTTGCGGGAGGCGGAGGAGAACCCTCCATACTGAGGTTGCAGGCGGAACTGCGTGAGCTTGTAGGGGTGTACTCATAGTGGCTAACAACCGGAGCTGCAGGTTCTCTTATCAAAACCGGGTCGAACCCTGGTAAAGGGAGGCTCACACAGTTCCCTGCCACCACCACCCCTCCTCATTCTACCCAAGAAACACCATCAGGCGCCCACGTTTTTGCACTCAGATCAAGTTTGACTGTCCAGCCTCCCTTGCTGGATTTTAGTTAACTCTCAGGGATCCCTGGGGAACAGGCGTGGTGGGCGGAGGAGGGGAAACCTGCGGTGCTTGGGTTTGCGTCCTCTTTCTAAGTAAGTAAACTCCGAGCTAGATCAGCTCGATGTCCTGGGTTGTGTAGAAAAACGCCGGGCAGGGGAGAAGGGAGTTAGCGTTGTCTCTCTCTCTCCTCTCTCCACCCCACCCCCGCCCTTCCTCCCTCTCTCCCTCTCCAACTCGTAGTTTAGTTTTCAGAGTTGTGTGGGCAGGGGTCTGTAGAAACAGGTTGGAATCAGGTTTCCTCTGGTCCTGCCATATTGCTCATTCTCAACGAAAAAATGCATATAAACTCAGCAGCTCCAAACCACAAGCGTGCTTAAAGCGAGATTGTCGGCTTGGAAATGTCACAACGAGTAAAGAGTGTAGTGGACTTCTGCGCTTTGAGCAGTAGCATTTAGCCCGGGAACGTCCCAGACTGCGCCCTACCTAATGTTGGGCTGCATACGGCTTCTAATTCTTTCTCTTACCACCTAACCTATCAGGCGATAAACGCTTCCGCTCTCTACTGCCGCAGCGGACAGGAGAGTTGACTTGAGCACAAGGGGGAAAGGTGGGGGGTTGGGGCGAGCGCACTGCCCGAAAAGGAACACCGAATCCACACGCACAACCTGCTCCTGCGGCGTAGAATTTGGTTTTGGGTATTGTTAGGTTTCTAGAAGCACTGGTGACAACTGGCCTCAGCAGGCGCATCCGGCAGCAGTTAGCTAAACAGACGCCGGGCAGGGCGGAAGACCCTA